GGGAATGTAACATACCAGCTGCATTTGTGTTCTGAGGGAAGCTATTTCATGCTATTTTTCTTTGAGTAAAAGCTGTCTTTATCTGTTAAAAATTTGCTGTTGCGACAAAAGCTGAACAGAGCTAGTGTTGGTATTACAAGAGCTGAGGGCTATAGCTTTTTCTTCCAAATCCTCTTAGTTGTGCATAAAAGCATTTGTTTTCTCATCCTTTTCTTGTTCTGGATTACGTCTTTATTCATTACAGTAGTGATGCATTGTAATAGCAAATTGGTAACGTCTTTAAGCAGAGATTTTCTGGGAATACCTAGTACAAGAGTGGCAGATAGCAAATCACTTATAGAAATCAAACAAAGTTTGAAATATGTATCCTTCTGTCTGCATTTGTCTGAAAGTTACAACATCCAGAGCAAGTCCTGGTTGGGGTTTTGTTGGGTGTTTGGTTTGATTTCTATTTATTTGTTTTGTTTTGTTTTCTACTTCAAGGAAATTCTGTGCATAAATATTGCAGGAAATTTCAGTGAATGACTCCATTTTAATATCCATTTAATTTCTGTCACAGTATTCTTGCTAACTCTGAGCTTTTAACTATTTCCACTTACCACAAGCTGTGAATTCATCTTCCTCCCCTTCAGTTAATTTAAACATAAGAAGTAATGAAGGTCTTTGGGGCATGACAGCATCTCTTACAACTATGATTCTTTGTCAGGAGGAGATGTAACCTATAGGTTACAGTAATGCAGGTGATCAAATGCCAGAAAAACAGCACTGGAATTAAACATCCTCTTGAATATTTCTATTTGTATGGTCCTGCTCAAACCCTGCTGCAGCCTTCATTTTGCAGAACACCTTTTTTTCTCTCTAAGATTACTTTCTCCATAAAATCTAGTGGCTATGTCACAGTACTTAAAGTAGATTCAAAGTGGAATATCTAACTAAATTAAAAGAAAAAAAAAGGATGAATTTATTTTGTAGGAAACCAACACAACTGAGTCATGCAACCTGGTATTTCAGAGGTTTATTGAATATGCCATAGATAAATGCCATTTTTAAAATTGTTCCTGTTCTGTGGTACAGTGCATCAAAATATGTTTGAAGAGCTTTTCTTCTACACTGGAATTTGTATATTCTTTAGTCTCCCTGTATAAACATGATGCACACACTTCATGCCAGGGGGAGTGACCAGGCATTTATTAGAGTCATTTACAGATTTCAGTGAGCTTTCAGCCATTTACATCAGTGAGGCTGGGTTTGCAAGGTTTTCTAAAGATATGCTGAAATGACAAAATGTGCCAAAGAATAAAAGGCTCTAACTTTCCTATTCTTCTCTAAGGATCAATTGCTGTTAGAAATTATACTCCTACATAAATATACAGTGGTGCTTACAGTCAGCTCTCATTGTTATTTTTTTTTTTTACAAAAAATGCTTCAGACTCAGTGCTGTGCTCAGCTATGTTCAATCCCATGCAAAGCAAATTTTTCACTTATTTTACCAGTGAAAACAACAGCATCCTGAGCACTTTGATGCCTTTGTTAAGTTATTGCAGAGTTTCTCTGAGACAATGTAGAGAAAAGATAAATGATCAGAGGGCTGGAGCACCCTCCTATGAAGACAGGCTGAGAGTTCAGGTTATTCAGCCTGAAGGAGAGACGGTTCTGGGGAGACTCTTAGAGAACCTTCCAGTACCTAAAGAGTTCAAGAGAGATGGAGCAGGTCTTCTTACAATGACATGCAATGATAGGACAAGGGGGAGTGGCTTTAAACTGAAAGAGAGTAGGTTTAGATTAGATATTAGGAAGAAATTCTTTATTGTGAGGATGGTGAGGAACAATGACAGAAATGTTGTGGATGCTCCATCCCTGGAGGTGTTCAATGCCAGGCTGGACAGTGCTTTGAGAAAGCTGGTCTGGTTGGAGGGGTCCCTGCCCCCATGGAGAGTGTGTGAGGAGTGGGTTGGAATTAGGTGATCTTTAAGGTCCCTTCTGACCCAAACTGCTCTACAGTTCCATGATGTGTTAGAAAATCTAGCTGATGTAAACCTGAGAAATAATTTTGGATTCTGAAGATAAATTTGAGCTTGTAACCCTCTACATTTGAGCTGTAAAAATTATTTGAGTTTTTTCCCCTTGGTAGTATAGAACAGATGTCTGTGATTCTATTTTATTCTGAAGCTCTGCTTCATTTTAAGGTACTCAGTTGCACGTGTTTGATTTTTTACTTTCACAAATCCCTTCCTAACATAAAGCACTGAGGATCTGAGGTGATCGATACCATCTTTCAGTGTGTGTTATTTCAATTTGTGTGTAATAGTCTGAATTTTGTTTTCAAGAGACATAAATAAGAGTTCTATCTCAATAACTTGTTTGTTTTTCAGCATTATGTTCCCTTAGTAGTACAATAAATACCTTTAATTTTTTCAAGTGATGACTGTCTACAAAATATGTGTAAAACATACCATGTTTCAGCTTAATAAGCTCATCAGTGGAAGAAAGATAGTGATATTTCTATTATTTGTATATATGTATTTAGAGTAGTAAAAATAAAGGAATCCTAGTTTTCTTCTCTAAATATTGCTTTGTATTGCAGTATATCAAACCATTCTTTGTGATTTTTAAAATTCAAGTGGGCATGTTTAGTTGTAACTAATTAGGTAAAACATTGTTTAAAAAGTGAGATTTCCACTAAAAAAAACAACATTCAGATGAGTTAAGGAAGGTAACTACTCCAGTTCAGTTTGAGAACTTACTCAAACTTAGTATTAAAATATTGCAAAACCATAACTTTCTCTGCTGGTATTTTTTTATTCTCAATGTAATTCTCTGATTACATTGAGAAAAGTGTATGTAGGAGGAGATATCAACATACATGGGTACATAATTATTCCTAAGCAGGTGCTGCACATTCAGCTTAAGCTCAGTGAAATGCTTGACATTTCTTGAGCATAATAATTTCTTAAAAAAATATTGCAAGCTCTGGGATTTTTCTGCTGGATGTGTGCTACAACTCTTGGAACCAATTTTTTTCTTCTGGTTTTGAGGACATTTTTTTGTCATCAACTCAGAGGCCAGACATGAAGTGAGCAGTATTAGTTTTCCTCCAAAAGGATCACTGCAGTTAGTCTTGCCAAAACTGAGTCAGAGATGCAGAAAGCCAAAAGAAATGGCTACTAGAACTGATTTTTTTAAGTAACCATAAGATCCATTCAGATGTAAGTAATAAATTGTGCTGATCTGCAGACTGCTGTGGAGTCAGAGTGTGTTATTTGTGTAGGCTGTCCTTCTGCCCTTGAATTGCCCTGATGGTTCTTCAGAACAAAGCAACAGTGGTAAGGTTTTAAGCTAGAGGTGCCTAAGGATTGATGGAGTCATTTAACACTTTTCACAGCAATACAAGGTGCAGATCTGTTCAGATATGTATCCTCTGCTCGCTTTTAAACACATAAAAATAAAAAGCCCTCAGATTCCATAACTAAAATGTTTGCATGATGCACAGAGTAGTTTAGCTAGTGGAGGAATAGTTGGAAAATTGCTATGGTGTACTTTGATTTCACATAAATCCCTAATAATGAAATAAATCCTTTTATGGATTACATGTATAGCCTGTGACTATAACACCATAAATTATAGTATATTATAAGCATCTATATGAATCTATAATGGCATGTTATGGCAGCAAAAAGATGACGTGTGTATACTATAACTGGGTGAATTGTCCCTAATCATCTCTCTCTAACCATCCTAATTGTCAGACTGCAATCAAGCCCACAAGGATTGATCTAATCTTAGATGAAACAGTTTTTAGCAGATGTTTCTTTATTTCTTCAATTCCTAACTTTAAATGCCAGCAGATTTGCAATGTGCAAAATATTAGTAATAAAAAAATGCTATCAGGAATTTTAGGATTTGAACTATGATACTAAAATTATCTAACACCTACTTGTATTGTTGCAGAAGGTCATGCCCCAAGCTCTGTAAACTAGAAGTTTAACCTTTCTCAGTAATTTGGATGATGAAATGAAGCTCAAGGGTATATGCAAGGTTATCATATATGAGGAATGTTTCCCTGCTGGATAGCATTCACAGCATACCTTCAGACAGTATTTCTCATTGGAAACACTACTAGTCTTTTTTTCTGGTATATATTTGTGGAATTTCTTTAATCCTGACTTGACAGCTGAAACAGCTTTGCTTTTATTGTGGTTGCTTTGTGGTAGATAGTTTGGTAACATTTGAAGAAAATATGTTGAAGTAGGCAAGAGGAGGTGGAGAGTTAGACGCAATTAAAAAAAAAAAAAATTGAAACTAAAAATTGAAACTACCCAGGCTTATTGTGTCTTGTGGTAAAGTCTCAGCCCCACATCCCAGAACTGCTGACAGGAGCAGGTAAGCTCTTGCTTCTGAGCACAGCAATGGACTCATTTGGCCCCTCCTGTTTGGGTGCTGGATATCAGATGGCTGTGGTGTATCTCTGCCCTGCTGCTGGGAGAAAGGTGAGTTCCCAGCAGTGTGTAAAGGAGCAGGAGCTGGCCTCAATTCCCTGCCACTTTGCTCCCTCTGTGCTAATTTAGGATCTCAGTGCTGTGCAGCAGTGCTCTGCCTCTCTTGCTTCTTCATAGGAATCCAAATTTGCCACCCAAAATGCACCCAATTAGTGCAGTGGGAACTGTATTTCATTTCTATTGTCAAAAAGGTAGACAACAAAATCAGACCTGTTGAAATGTTGGTAGTTCAGGTAAGTGGATCGCAACCATAAAGTGTTTTGGTTTGTAGCTCAGGCGCTTTTTTTTTTTTTTTTTTTTTCTGTTGAATTGATTCAGCAATAGTTTAGATCCTGTGACTTGTTCTTTGGGCTGAGGTATAGATCCCCATTTTCCTCCTGGGCCTTTTTATAGATAATAACTCTGTTTCAATTTCTCCTAGGTTTTACTTGAATGTGTGACAAGTGTAGTTTCACTGAAGCAGTAAGGTGTCACCTCTTGTCTCTTCTCCCTTAGCCAAATTATGCACAGAATCAAAAAATGGTGGGTGTCAAAACAGTGGTTAAATATGACTTTACTGTGACAACTATTTTTATTTTTCTCATTATGAATGCCATATTTTTAAGTTGTGACTACATTTTTTAATCTCACAGCAAACTGCATTTCTCTCACATACCCCATGGAAATATTGGTTTTTAATGGAGATAACTAGTGAGGTAAACCTGAACACATTCATATTTTGGTGTTTTTAATGCATATACTGCAGATGTTGTCTTGTCAAACAGGAGAGAATGCACATGGCAAGTCAGGGATGAGAAATCAACTAGCCTTTCCTGCAGATAATGAGATGTAAATGCTGAACGGAATGTTATTATGTTGTTGTCTTCCTGGGAGAAAATTTGATAGGTTATGCCAGCAAAAGGCTCCATGAGTGATGCTTCAGTGCCTGTCCTGGTCAGTGATGGTTTCTGTTAGTAATTAGGAGCTGACTCATTGCTGTTTCTCTCAAGAGACAAATGTTTCTACAGCTAGTGGCAGAAAATTAGATGGTTTTCCAATATACCCAAGAAAGCTGCCATTTGTACTGTCCTTTGGATAGGTGCAGGGAGATTTCACAGCATCGAAAGCGATTTGGAATAAAAGCTTATAGTGTTGTAACTTTATTTAAAAAAAAGCATGGGCGATTTTTTTTGTTGTTTCTGTTTTCTGTTGGGTTGTTTGAGTGTGAAATTTCTGGAGTAATGTGTAGAAAGTTGTCAATAAAAGTCCCTTTTCTAAATATTAGTGATTACTGGGAAAGCTTTATTTGCTACAGCTGTGGATAGAAAGAAATGTGAATCTCAAAAGCATTTATTGTAAATGGCTAGGAAAAAGCCTTAGAAATATCTAGAAAATTGAAAATCATACATAACATTTCCACTATAAACCAATTATTTTAAATTACTTTAGAAAAGAGGAAAATATTTCCTTCTTTCTGAAAAATACCTAGCCAGTGGATTTCCTGCAATACGTATTTTAATGGATTTGTTATGAGCAGCCATGGCAACAATAAACCAGAATTGTATGACGTGATCATGAAAAGTAATGGCCCATTCAGAGGCCAAATTTTTGCATATATTAGTCAAAAATATTAAAAAATATGATCATGCTGCAAATGTGAGCTGAGCAGTGTACTATATTAAGCAGAAGAAAAATATCAAAATAAGATTATACAGAGATTTCCTAATTAATTGATCTGTTACAGTGTTTCAAGTAGAATATTAATGAAAGGATCTCTGAAGATTAATAGAAATGTATCAGCATTAGAAGTCAAATTTCTGACTGGAAAGATTTCAGAAATCATTTGAGGGGAGGGTGATAAGCTAATGTTGCTCCAGGTTCTGGAATCCTCTCAGTAACAAGATGAGGCTGCTCAGGTCCATCGTGAGAAAAGAGGCTCCGCTCCCCCTCGAGCTCGTACATTGTAATCAAAATCATTCCCATGTGCTATCACAAGGGGCAACCTAATCAGTTCTCACCAGACCACAAGTGTGCTGAGTTATTGCCATGGCTTACTGATACATAATTGCACAACATCCTGAGTAATAGAATCTGGAAGAATATTGTTTTTGTGCTTTTCCCGTCTTGTAAAACTGAGATAGAAAGGATGTTGTTTAAAGAGGTTCAGCTATGCCTAAGGCTCTGCAGGTCATTTCAATAGAATCCTTCTCAAGATTGTAATGAACAAGTTTTTTCTAATTGACACAATAATAAAAGAAAACCTAAACCCAGCATGTACTTAATGCCATCTTCCTGAATTTCTCCAGTAAAAAATGCAATGGCATGGGGCATACTTTGTGTTGTTAGCCCTTGATACAAAATTTTAAAATCATATTTGTTGAATAGTTGAGAACTCATCCGAGGATGTAACCCTGATTAAATGATCAAATATTTGGCATTTCTTCAATAAGCACATGTGGAAAACAGTCTCACAGGAAATACTGAGTATTATGGAGACAACACAGCAAGTGGTTCTAATTCTCTCAGTTCTGGAAGGGCTGATGCTGATTTCTCTCACAATGGCTTACCCAATTATCTGAGGACTTTAGAAGTCTTTCAGAAGTTTTGATTACAGCCAATGGCATCCTAAAGTAGGCCAGGGATAAAAGAGTATCTCACTGTTCGTGAATAATTGAGTAGGCTTCTGTATAACAATGAGGTGCCTTATGAAAGGCAAATGTTTGTTTGCTGTGTGCTCACATCTGCACCTATTTATTCATATTTATAGGTAAATTCATATGCTAATGCTTTTTCAAGCACTAAGATACAAAGTGTCTGTTGGCATAATAAGGTAAAATGTTGCAGAAATGCAATGGAACTGTACATGTTTATACCAGTTTAAAAATTAGGTTGCAAAAAATAAAATCCAAATGCAAGGATGTATCTTGGCATAAGTACATAGAATATCAGGAGTCCTCTTTGGGCCTTTTCATTCTTCATATCTCTCCTCTTCTTAAAGGTCTGGAAAAAACAGATGCCAATAAATTGAACCAATTGCAGTCTAAAGGACAAACTTGTGTTTCTCTCCTCTTGCTATTCAGTGTTCTCTGAAAGCAAAGGCTGTTCATTCCTGCAAAAAGCAAAGGCTGTTCATTCCTGCAATCTGTGTGCTGAAGCCTTTGAATTCATCTCACTTCTGAAATGTGTGCAAAGGCTGATGAGCATCCTTAAAGATAACTAGCATCAAGCCCTGGTATTTGATAGCAGTTCCCAGTAATAAGGAGGTCAAACTGTTCCTCTAGAATTTCATCAGCTTATCTGCAAAACCTCAAACTCACTTTCACGTTGTCCCAAACTGATATCCAGTGAAAAAAAGACTGAAGCCATCATTTGTCTGAACCTGCTCATTTGTCACTAAAGGAAGTGCTTTGGAGTATGCATTAGATGGCCTTTGATCTAGAAAATGTTCTCATCCTCACAGGGAGAGGTCTGACTCCATGACTAGGATGTATAGTTTACCTTTTTTAGGAATATTTCTAATGTACTGGATCTAACTGATACTTCTCATTGCAACAAAATATGACTCTCCCATATAAACACACATAAAAATATATTTTAAAAACCACAAACAAACAAAGAAAACTTTCTACCAACCTTTGAAAACCTTCTGTTACTCAATACAAATTATCATTTTCATTGTCACCAGCTGTCAAATATTCAGGTCATCTGCAAAATGCAGATTCCATGACTATGCTAAAACCCACCACCAAGATGATGACTTGGGTTGGTCTGGCTTTTCTAAAGAGAATTTTTTGAGGACTGTAAGACATTAAAGACATATAATGAAAATTAGGAAATCAAGAAAACATTTGAAATTAAGATAGTTGTGTTCACCCTGATAAAGCACTTCCTAGGCAAAGACTTTCCTAAGAGGAAGAGAAATAAAATGAAAGTACACATAGACTAAAAAACACCCAGGATCCCAGAAGAGCTAGAAGTATTATTAAAAGTGACACTTTTATTAAATAAATATGTCCCTTTCAGACAGTTGGTACTGTTGTTTTTTAGTAAGGTCAAAATAGTGTGAATATTCTATATCTTTGTGTGTGGAGCTTTTCACACCACAAAATTGTGTTGAGCTAATATGTTTAATCAAGGAATAACTGTGGGAGCAGTGCTGTAGTTTTGGTAAAGTCAAGTTGCAACACTGCCAAGATGTTATTTGAAGAAAGTACTATCTAATAAAGATGGTTTATGATGTCCCAAAGTGTAATGTCATTTTTTTTCAGGAAATATGATATTGTCTTTGCTTTCCCTCAGGATAGGTGAAGTAATTTCTGAGATAGCAAGCACAGTTGTACAGTTGCCACTTTACAACCTTAGTAGAAAAAACCTAAAAGTTTTACACTTTGCAATACATGTACTGGCAGAGGATTTAATTATATACCATGTATTCTTCTAAAAGTCTTCATAATTAAACATATTGGTACTGTAGCCCAATGGTAGGGTTTTAAAAGAAATTGCTTACTTTGATAACATTTATTTTCGATAGTGGCAACAGGATAGTGTCAGTAGTATTATGTCATAATGTGGTTAATTAAGCGTAATTATTTTAATGACACTATATCTTCTGCTTGTATTCAGTTTAGACAGCAGACTGAGGGGAAAACTTCCTGCTCTAATTTCCTTGGGTTTTTTAATTACTTAGTTTTTTGGTAATGGGAGGCATGGTTGACCAAATTCAACAGAACTGTATTTCTTGTGCTGTGTCATTAAATTTTGTAGAATTTGTACTGAATTAAGGCTCTTCATGTATGGCCAGTGGAATCATTGGGTAATATTGGGCTTGGGACTTTTTTCAATCTATCCTTGAATTAATAACATAAAATTGCATATGGTATTGTTTATAGAGCTGTCCAAGTACTGGAGAGAAGAATGAAGTAAACTGCTGTCATAGACTATAAAACTAGATTGATATCTAATCTCTTACTTGCATAATATAGTCTAGAGGATTATCATTAATCAGCTTCTCTTTGAACTGCAAATTTTACTCTTAAGGTAAAACACTGTCATTTTAAAATATCTTCCTAAGTCAGTTCTGTAACTGAATGCATTTGTAATACTCTCCACCTTTAAAGAAAAACTAATAGAATCCATTGATTTTGTTCACAGATTTTTAGGCGTTGTTGGTTGGTTTTCAAGAAGGCTTCCAGTAAAGGACCCAGAAGGCTAGAAAAATTTCCAGACGAGAAGGCAGCATATTTCAGGAACTTCCACAAGGTAAGTCATGCCTCTCTTGTGAACTGAAGCATTGCCTGTTTACCACTCTTCCTTGGGAAGAGTGTGTTCTTGCTTTGTCTGGTTTGCAAACAATACAGTGTTAGCCTTGCTGAAAACCTAATCCTGGCAATAAAGCAGAGTAAAACATCCATAACTCTCAGTGATGCAGCTGAGATATCACACTGTTTTTTTTCCAGATGAGCACAAAACCCTCAGTGTATTTGAAGCAACAGAATGATGTTTTTTTTAGTTAAAGACTCATAGTTTGGAAATGTGCAAAATTGGCTACCTATTCAAATGTTCAATCAATAGTTGTTAACTAAGTATTACACAAATTCTGGAAATGCTAAATGCCTCAGTTGTAATGAGGCAAACGTGTAAGGTTCTTCCCAGAACTCAAGATTTACAAGCTGTGTCAACAAAAAGATTTTTAGCAGTAGAAAGTCAGAATTCGCTGAATGAGGTACTCCCTGCTTTCTCTGTCACTCACACTTCTGTGATGGGAAGCAAGATATTTGAGCATGAGTTCTTCTTTCTGTCCCATAAGTTACTGTTATCTGCCCCTCCAAGTCTGTCAGTAGAATTCATGCTGCCTAATCCTAAAACAAGGTGGGGATCTGTGCTTGTACCATTGCCTTCTATCAAGTCACTGTTGGCTTTATGACATATCAATGTTAGATATTCCATTAAACCTGTCAAATTGAAACACAAAGATGACTTAAGCAATGGCCACACAGCAAGCAGTGAGAAAGTGTGAATGCAATCCTAGATCTCTCAAAGGCAGGTATGATGTTTTTACCATAAAACTACAAATTGGCCTTTAAGTCCAGTAGCCAGACTGCTCTAGCATGGGTCCCTTGCTGGGACACAAGTCCTGACCATCTCCAGCATGAGCTCCTCTCTTCATGTGTCCACAGGCCAGGAGCCTGCTCCAACATGGGCTTCTGATGCAGCCACAACTCTTTTGAAAGGCTTTGGGGAAGTTTTTTGTGTTGTTTTCTTTTCATTCTTTTTTGAGCCTGTTATGCCTATAGCATACTTAATGTGTTGAAGGACTCAGAAAGACTGTATATGTTGCCTTTCAACTGTCGTCATTGTAGAAAAATAGTATGAAATGCAGAAATTGTTTGAGAAGCTAGAAAAATAATGTTGATACCAATGTAGCTGCATATTGTAGTATTGATGGAAGAGTCACCATTTGCAAATGGAAAGGAGGGGTGCTACCCTTTGCTATCTGTTTTTCCCCCTCTTTTTCTCCTCTGTGAGGATAGGAAGAAAAGAAAAAGAAATGGATACTCTTTCCTATTTAAAAGGATAATGTGTTTCTGGGTGCAGAGAAAGAGGAATTGTATCTCTTCACTTGGATTATATCCATTTTTCAAATAAAGCCATGAAATCATTTCTGAAGGTATATGATCACAAAATAGAAACCCAGAATCTTATTCTCTGGCTTGATTTTTTTCCCAAGGATATTTTATTATTTCATAGTGATTGTTCTCCTCACTTGCCTCCATTCTGATAAATAAAATAGTGGTGAAGTAGATGTGCATGGGTTGTGAATAGTCAAGCATGACTATTGAAGGAACAGTGCAGGTTGTTACGGGATCAAATATAGTTATTTGATTGTTGGTGTTGGACAAAAATACCCT